TTATTCGTGTAACTTCTTTTTTCTTTTGTTCTCACTTGTTTTAGTTCTGTCCTACGAATACCTTCGTTTTCTTATTTAGTTACACTTACTCTTATTAACTTATATATATATATATATATATATATACAGTAGTCAACATTTGCTGTTAATTTAATGTTAATAGAGGTCATTTCTGAAAAAAGACATAGCTTGGAAGTTCATTATCTGGACATTGTCTACCTGGGTGACTTTGATTGGATCTTGGCTTTGTTTTCCAACTACCCCCAAATTGAAAGTTTATACAGTGAATGCAGGGAGGAATGACTCAATGCAGGGTTGCTGCTGCTCTTGGCACATCCAAAAATGTGGCGTCCAGGGCCTTGAACGGGTTCAGATGGTTTGGCAGAGTCAATAGGAGACTTGGTGGAGGAAGGAGAAGACTAAACTCTCCACAACATGACCACTACTTGACCATCCAGGCTTGAAGGAATTGCTTTGCTCCAGCTGTTAACCTCCGTAACTCCCTGCAAGATGCCACAGGAGTCCGTTTGTCTACACATACAGTGCGCAGATGCCTTCACGAAGCTCAGTTGAGGGCTAAACATCCTGCTGTTCATGTTCCTTTAAGCCGACAGCACAGGCAGACACGACTGCAGTGGGCCAGAGAACACAGGAAATGGACTGCACAACAGTGGAGGGCCGTACTCTTCACTGATGAGTACTGCTATTGTGTGGTCTTTCTTGACAGATGCAGGAGAGTTTGGAGGTGCCCTGGTGAGCCCAATTTTCCACAGAATGTCATCGAACAATATCACTTTGGAGGAGGCTCAATCATGGTGTGGTTGTGGCCTCTTGTTCTATACAGCATCTGTTCCTGAAGATGTGTTTTCACCTGCTTGCTTGCTTGCATCAAGGACCAGTTGATTTTATATCTGGATCACTCCTTTCTCCCTAAAACTTGGGCTGCCTGGGAAGAAGATGGGATGTTTTCTAATCATTCTGGCTTCCATTTCTTCCATATACAATCATTTCAACTCTGACTGTCTTTGTGTCTGGCTTGGGCTATTCATATTTATCTTACTGGAACTGCCCCCTTTTACTGTGGTATTCCTCCCTTTCTCATGACTGTACACTTTATCATGTCACCTCCCATCAGGATTGTTATCTTAAGGCTTCTCATGCCTCTTATTGATGTTGTACCCTGGATGAGGCCTGTAGATCAGAATGTAGACCACATTTATCACATTACTGCTATCATATGGCATTCTTTGTACTTCTGACTTCTGCCTCACTCCAGTTGCCATTCTCCAGTCTACTCAGAGGCTCTTGTGAGATGAGTACTGTTATTTAGTTTTCACTTTCTTACCTTCTCACTTCTTGACATTCTTAGGTTTCATTTTCCCTTACCTAATAATGCTTGTATCCACCTTGTGGCCATTGTTACCTCACAGGGAGTACTTACCTAAAATCTGCAGTGTGGGTGGGTACAGAAAGTGTTAGGCCCATCTGCCCCTGCCCTGTGCAGTCTTTTAAAATGGGATTTCCCTCAAGATTGCTTTGGTGGTATCTATATATATTCTGCCTTTCAGACCTTTCTTTACAATACTAATAACTGGGTTTCATTACCTATGTGATCACTGTGTTGCGTCAGCGAGGTCATGTGACTAGTGTCACACCACCTATTTTCTAGAAATATCCTGTTCCTTCCTGAATGCCCTAGCATTTACTAGATTGGGGGTAGCCTGGTATATATAAGATGGTCACAACATGACGGGACAACGTGTGTGTAGGTAGTGAGTAATTGATCTGCAGTCAGAGAGTATTGTTGAAGTTCGTTATAGCGTTTGTTTTAGCGCGAATGTTGAAATCAAGTGTATCATAAAGTTATATTCAGAAAGAATAAACCAGTTTTATTAAGTAAGGACTTGTGTCGAATGTTGAAATCAAGTGTATCGTAAAGTTATATTCAGAAAGAATAAACCAGTTTTATTAAGTAAGGACTTGTGTCGCTAAAGTTTCGTAGGAACGAAGTTACGGAAAGTTAATTAACAAACGGAGACATAACAACTGCATAGATAGCCCATTGTGTAGCTTTGTGCTCAATGACAAACAAACTAGGCCACTCTGCACTTTAAAAAAAAATCTGTAGCACCAGCCATGTGAATGCCCTCACACTTGGCTTGCACTTGCTGACTTTAGTCACTGTGATCTTGAAATGTAAACGAAAAAATTGGTATAACTATTTCAAATATCCTAATGGCTCATTCTGATATAAATTAGTCTTTGCAAGCTGGTCCTTGATAACTTGTTATTTGACAAGTGTTGAATTTCATAAAACTATTTCTGTGAATTCCTTTGCAGTTTACAAAGTAGATGTCGGAAGTAATCACTTTATAAGGTCATTTAATTCAAACTAATATATGATAGTCATTTCCCTTTTGTGGCTGTATGGTGTCAAGATGCTCTGTTATCAATATTACTGTAATTGTGATTTGCAAAGACATGACTCATGTCTCATAATTATAAGCAGTAATGATATTAAAATATTACTTGTGCTTAGTATTTTTTTTTCGATATTAAATTTTAGATAAATCCCAATAAATATAAGAACATTGGTTTTTTTATATTACTGTGCTGGATACTTAAACAACAACTTCTGGAAGCTCTGTTACTTAATCCACATGGATTGCAAAAGTTGTGATCTTGGAAAATTGAAAATGTTGACATTTCATTAATTTTTTAGAAACGATGATATTAATATCTTAAAAATTAAGTTTCAACTGCAGTGTATATGCAATATTAGTGGTAAATCAAATGCAACGTGCCAAAATCTCATCATATAATTATGATGCAGAACTAAAACAAATGATAATTAGAGTGTCTAATATTATAGCTATAACAAGGCAAAAACTGCTGTTATAAAATAATATTAATCATTGTCCTCATTTTTATGCAAATCAGCACAAATATGTGTGAATTGGATTGCAGCTGTTTGGTTAATCACATCTAAATCATATAGTGCATGTATGTATCCTCAGTAAGAAGCTTTCAGTGCTTACAGCTACTTAGTTTCTGTAAATACTGTTGTTTCATATTTCTAATCAAAATCAACAATACTCATAACTATAGTGTCAGCCTATTTTGGTATGTAACTAAAAAATTTTTATAATTGTAACAATAATTATGATAATGGTCATCAATCATGAAATGTGTAACTTATATTTCTTCATTATTTGTTTGTTATGAACAAGTCTCTTCATGCTAATTTGCATTATACTTATTAGTTTCTCAGTTTTTTGATGGGTAAGGAAGATTGCATGTTAATTATTGGAATTCAAGATTATTTAAAATATCTTACATTGATATTTTTCCATGGTAGATCTCTTGATCCAGACTTCAATAGCACTCTTCAACTTCAAGTCACCTCTTTGAATGAAACGAAACCAACAGAAACAGTTATGAAGTTTTGAATTAGATATATTTAATTAACATTTTTCATATCTCATTGCGAGGAACATTAATTTTAGTCTGTTCTGTATTGAATAGTTAGTTCTTTTAAAATCCATGTTTATGTTTGTATATATGTGTGTGGTATTTTCAGATAGCAGAGATTTCTACTAAGAGTGACAAGGTAGGTCCACAGAATAACAGGATAATTCATACTGGAAAATAATTCTGTATTCTCTGGTTAACTCTCTCAACATGGGCTTGGTCAATTTGATCAATCACATGACCTTATTGTACTCATTCAAAGTCCTTATAGATTTAATGTTTTAACATTTCAAATGTTTGTTTTTTGTTAAACTTTATATTTTATCTGTAATTTTCTGTAACATAACTGTATAAAAGGCTGGTCAATTTGTCTGACCTTGTAACCACCAAAAATTAATCGAAATAAAACTAAATTACCCACTTTTTCTTTCTAGAATGACTTCAAATGTGGCATGAAACTACATTCATTTATCCTATGTAGCTTTAAACTTGTAACAGAATACAGCTATTTATAATTAAATATTATTGTTTTATTGACCTTTTGATTGCCCTTTGAACCATGTCTAACAACTATTCACATCATTATTAGATGTAAATGACTTGGGAAATGTGCAGCTCACATTACGCTGTCAAATTACATTACCCACGAGCTACTCCAAGCTGCTCACGTACATGCCTCATGAAATATTTTTATTATATTATTTGTTGTTTATTTTACCTAATATAATCTAAAGAGATCCCCATGTTTACATTTTACTTATTGTTATAATAATAAATAAAGAATAAACATGAAAAATAAGAAATAAATTACTTACCCAATCTTTATTTTTTTTGCTGTTGATTGTCGATGACACTTAACCCTACTTTTTTTATACTAATGGTAGTATTACACTATATAAATGATTTTTATTTAATTAAATAATGCACCAAAAAACACAAACTAATAACGTGCAAAAAAATAAACAATTTCCTCTAACTCTCAAAATTTTGAACCTTGTAATATAAGTGACATTGATACTTATCTGTTCAGAACACAATGTTATACAATACGTCATTTGATATATGAAAACCTTCGCTTTCTATTAGTTATAGCTAATATATAATTAAACATAAGAGAGAACTATAAACAAATCTTGAAAGAGAGGATGTTACAGGTGAGTGTAGCAAGAGAGGTCCAATTTTCTGTTGGATAGCTCTGTAACTAAAGAAAATTCAAGGCTATAAAAATTATGGTTTGTCTGAGCAATGACAATTTTATAGTGAGTAAATTATGTTGAATTTTGTACTGTTTGGAGGGGTGATGGATAAAATAGAGGAAATAATATACTTAAAGAAAATGTTTCATGTGTGTCACACTAGGGGAAATTCAGGATTTTTTAAAATATTGCATTGTAGAATTAAGAACATAAAACTTATATACTATTAAAATATGGATTATTAGCTAAGATATTATACCATACTAATTGGTATAACATAAGCAACAAGTAGTTTAATAAAATTTTGAATGTAAGAAACTAAAACTTTGTGTCATGAGCAGTAAAGGATACCCGTGGTGATAAGGCTATTACAGTGGGTATATCTTCACGAAATTTGGCAGTCTTTCAGTTAATATTACAAGTCTTTCACATACAAAAACTCATATTTCTTAGTGAAGTATTTTTAATAAAATAAAACATAGATTTGTCCATGAATATATTGAGTATTTGTTTTTGAAAAGTCTGTGTGCAAAGTAATTTTCGTGTTAAAATTAAAAACACTTTACCTCAGCTCAAAAATCTCAAATTTTCTTTGTGTAATCCTAAAACCTCCTACATTCATTTCAAACGTTTTTTTAGTAAAACTTTATAGTTTATCTGTTATTTTCCCTACCCTATCTCAAAACGGTATTGGTCAATTTGACCGACCTCGTAACCGTCAAAAAAAGAAAATCAAAATCAAACTATATTAACATTTTTCTTTCAAAAATGACTTCAACTTGTAACATGAAACTACATTTTCCTATCCTAAGTAGCTAAGTTCGTAACAGTATACATCTATTTATGATTAAGTTTTATTGTTTTGTTATCCTTTGAACCGTGTCTATCTACTGTCCATGCCATTATAAATTTTAAATCAATCGGAGAATATGCAGCTCACGTTACTCTATTGAATTACATTATCCACGAGCTTCTCACATATGTACCTCGTGAACCATTTTAATTATATTATTATTATTACTTATTTTACCTCATCTATTCTTAAATAACTTAAAAAATCCATATTTTCAGATTTTAGTTACTTTTACGATGATAAATAAAGAATAAATATGAAAAACAAGAAATATAGTACTTACCTAATCTTCTTTATTTCCTGCTGTCAGGTTTCGAAGTCAGTTAAACCTAATTTTTTGTACTATAGATAATAATGCACTTTATAATTTTTGCTCAGTTAAATAATGCACCAAAGAATATAGACTAATAACATGCAAAACGTAGACAAATTCACTTACCTCAAAATTTTCCTGGCTTTCTAACCATGCGACAAGAGCCATTGCAAATTCCTTTCCCACAGGAACGAATCTTGTACTTTGAGTGAAATTGACGATATTCTATTCAGAATACAACCTTATGCAATACGTCATTTGATAGATGAAACCTTGACTTTCTATTGGCTGCAGGTAATATATAATGAAACATAAAAGAGAACTATCAACGAATTCTGAAAGAGAGGATGTGGCAGGAGGGGTCAGATTTTCTATTCAATAGCTCTGTAACCAAACAAAATTGAAGGCTATAAAAATTATGGTTTGTTTGAGCAACAACGATTTTATAGAGTATTTTACGTTTAATTTTGTACATTTTCAAGGGGTGATGGTTAAAATCGAGATGATGACATGCTAAGACAAAATATATCACTTGGATCACACTATTGGAAATTCAGGATTTTTTTAAATATTGCGTTGTAGAATTAAGAACTTGAAACTTGTATACTATTAAAATATGGATTATTAGCTAAGATGTTATGCTGGTCTAAGAGATATAACTTAAAAAAAAAGTAGTTTAATAAATTTTTGAATGTAAGACACTAAAACCTTGTGTCATGTGCAGTAAAGGTTACCCAGGTCAAGAGGGTTAATTTCATGCTTACCAAGAGCAACTAATACTATCCATTTGATTTTCATTCCCTATGAAACATAAGGAGGGTATAACCAAAAAGAGATCACCTGACTGCTCATGGAAAAGATAACTGCCTAACTTCACATACTACATGTAACCTTGCAGCTTCCTTTGTTAGAGGAAGACAAACTGTGCTACTCTAGGCTGGTGACAGAGAACAATAGGTAGCTGGAACAAAATTAGTTTAAAGACCTTTTTGACCAATGTGTTTCATGGAATCTGCACACATGTGCACAAATAAATTTTTTTGAATATTTCATATATTAATAAAAGGAGATAGAAACACATGGTTTGCTTATGTACCAAAAATATATATACATAAATATATATATATATGCATAATTTTTGTTCTCATTCTTCAAAATAGATTAAAACAAAAAAAAAATATTACATGTTGCAATTACTGATATTTCTGAAAATAAAGGTAAAAGTACATTTACCAAATGCCATTTGATTAGTGAATTGACAGTGTATTTTATTATCAGTTTACATTACAGGTATGTGTAAGGTGCAGTTCACTTGAAATGGAAAGGGCCAGTTGGGTCATAAAGCAATCCAACCTCCAGAAATCCCTTCATCAATCTGAGAATGAAGTCATCAGACTCAAAAGGCTACTTCAGGCTACAGAAGATGAGAATAATGGAATTGCTTTAGTTGATAAAGAAAGCAAGGTATATTGTATCATGTGGGCTATTTTTACAGTATAACAATTTCTTGTTTACAGTCCTCAGGCAGTATTTAACATGAAAAGAATGTCAAAAACGATTTTATCTTAAAAGGGTTTACTATATACAACAATAGTGTAAAATATTTATGACAAATATAGCATAATCTATGAGCAACAAGGGACCATTTGAACCTTAAGATCAGCATTTCTTGTCTTTCAAATGTAGAAGCAAAGAAATGCTTGATTTATAAAGGTGAAGTGATATCTATACACACGGTAAGCCTTGAAAATGGTATATGTTATGCCTAATAGTGTTGTACCTATTAACAATACAAGCTCTGATGTTTTCAATACAACAAATCGTGTTTCTTGAAACTTTTGGCTTGAAACAAAATTAGCAAATGAAGCTTCCCGATTAAAAGGTATGCAGAAGCTGCATAGTTGTGTGGGAGCAAAAAACCAATATATTTTTTTAATTTGTTTTTTAACTTTCAAAATTAAAAATAATTTTCCTTTTAAATGGAACTTTCAGTCATTTTGATTACTTATAATATACATCCCATTTAAAGTAAAACAAATTTCTCAATACAGTGTAGATCAACAGTTGTTACTGTTTCTAAAAATTAGGTTCTAAGGTATGTTAAGAAAAAGGGAAGCAATCTACATTTTAATAGTTTCTCTAGTTTAGCCTAAACATTTAGTGTTATCTTACACATTTCTTGTTATCCGAACCACAGAATGTTGCATGCATTCAAACACCAAGAAATAAATTCATCTGGCTGAATTTGTACATAAAATTTTTCAATATATTAAAATCTTGAAATTGACATTTTACAGGGTCAACGTTGGGCTAATGCTTAATGTGCTGGACTGTGAATCTCAGTATCCAAGGCATGTGTCCCACTCCCACAAGATCTTTCTCTACATTTTGGGACTGTGGATGCATTGTAAAAGTTACTGTCAAATCTCACCATCATTTAGAGAACCACAAGAGCTGGCTGTAGGTGATGTTGACTAGCTGCCTTCCATATAGAGTATCAGTTTAACATTTATTACCTTGTTAACAGTAGAAAGAAATATGCCCAGTTTCATTGCTTCACTTTGCTGAAGAGGGCATTGCTCTGGATTGACTTTAGCTTCGGGTGCAATTTCAGAGCATATTGCTAATGTAAACATCCTATTGCATGAGTATTCCTTTTTGTGTTTAGGCAGAATTATGGGGACTCCATTCAAAATCTAGTTTCCTTATAGGCTCTACCTTAGTTAACGATCTTGCTATATACATATCCTTCTACCATAGCGCCATTGCACTGTTGAAAAGTTAGAATTTCACTATGAACCAAATAATAAGTATTAAATATTTTTCCCATAGCCCAACAGCTTACGCCTGTAGTGGCACAATGCTGCAGTAGTATATACAAACCTTTCTTATAAAATATGGTTTTCTTTGTGTTTTTAGCAGATTTTTCTCTCTTTCTGTTATGCCTGATATCCAGGAAGCACATCCAATATCCTATATAATAACCTATTGCATGTAGTGAAGATGATATAGTTGGCAAAAGTTGTGATATTATTTCCATTAATACATAATTTTAATTGTATCCGTCTATTGGCCTAATGTGGGCTCATTTCTAGTATCACTAGCGTATACCAGCATTTCAAAACTACACCTTATCTGTTGCACATTACTGCTGATTAGATTTTTAGCTCAGTACTAGAGCTTATGAACTACCTGCATGACAACATACGAAATCTTATTTGAAATGCTATTTATATCAGTCATTTATGAAACATCAAGTTCTGTTATGTATATTTGATCAAATGAAACATAATTCATTAGATGCTACATGCACCAAATGAAGTACATTTAAAATGTCTTTTTACTTTCTTGCATTTTTTATGGGAATTCAATTATAATGGATCATACTTCACCAGCTTAAGCATTGTGTCATAAAGAGGAGGGATAAAATACATGCAGAAAATCAAACACCAAAATAGATACATCTAAAAATATAACTTAATCAAGCTAAAGTACTTTTCCTTGATTGTTGGTGTCTTTTTTGTATTGTGCTAATGAACCTTCCTTTTAGGATTGTTTATATTCATAAACATGGGATCTTTTGTGTCCAGTTTGAGTTCTTTGTTATCCTGCTTGAACTGTTTCCTTCAATGGAAACCACCATTGTCTTTTCATATCATGTGATCCCTCCTCTTGTGACTTGCTCTTTTGCTAATGTTAAATTGCAAACGTCATAAAACTAAACAAAACCTGATATCAGTGATCAAATATAATAGAAATATATTACCTTTTACAACTCAGAAAAGTATGATGTATTTCTCTCATTCCCTCTCAAAAATGTAGAAAAACATAATTGCCAATAATGATTACCATTATAAACAGCACCCATCATGCTAAACTGAACATGTTTCTATCTTAATTCTGACTAAGGGCAAGGCAATTGACAATCTTATTGTCCATGCTAGCAGCCACCATGCAGAGGATCAAACCTAACTGGGTTATATTTACTAAAATCCATATAAATCCAACTAATCTTAATGATTTTGAATGAAATAAAAAACCATGTAGATTTACAAGCTTTTTGGTAGTTTTTTACATACATATTTTTTCCACAGATAAAACGACACTTGTGACATAAGATAGTAAAAAACATTGTGAGTAATTTCTGGTTGCCATTTAGTGAATGCTGAGCACTGCACTGTCATCGTAGTATATAAATCTTTTTTGGGGTTCTTCACCATACAGTAGGTCTGCTGTTGTGTCATATTATAACAACACAGGGACTTAGAGAACTATGGACAGAATTTTTAATACATTTTGATCAAATTTTTCAAAGTTTTTTTTCGTGAAACCCAAATAAACTATCCAGAAATCGGTCAGGATCACAACCCAGCATTCAAAATGGGCATCATGCACTGACAATTGAAATTCATTTTAAAAGCGTGCTACCTAAAAATTAATTCATTGTGAAAACTATCATGCATTATTTTAAGCATATGCTATGTCTGCCTTTTTTGAAAGCAAACTACAACCAGTTTTAATTGGTATTTGTTTTATTTCTTCTTTTATCTTATGATTTAAATTGATTTTATCTTTACATTAAAACAATCCACACACACAATCAAGATCCTGTTCAAACATGAGTATGTGTGGTCACTTGCACGGTAGACCTGAAAGAATATTCATAACTTTTAAACATTTACAAATGAATATTAAATTAATATTCAGCATTTGAGTCAAGAATGATGTGCGTTCATACACTAACAAAAATGCACATTTTTATAATAAAAATTTCAACAAACTTTGTACAGTATTTCGTTGAAAAAGGCATACTGATATAGAAGAACATCAATTATATGTGCAACAAAATTGGACATTATGATTCAATTGTAAGAGGCTGTCATAATGTGATGACAAGGTTTATATTTCTAGGATAAATTATGTAATTAAATTGGCATATTTCAATTCAAAATCTACATTTTATGTCGTAAATACTTTATTTATTGGTATTGAGGTTTAAATCCTGGGTAAATTGTATTCACAACCATATCCCGACATCAATATAATACCCAAACTAGATGGTCAAGTCAACTTCTGAAATCTGACGTCGCCTATTGGTCACATGGTGGTTGTATGACATCACGACCTAATTGTGATGTTGTCATGACATCATAGTGACATTGTGTGCTTGCTGAGAATGCCACTCTATTTCTGCCTGAGTTTCTTGCCTATCGCCAAATCAGTGTCGCTAGTGGTACCAGTGTCTATACCGTGCATTCAGGCATGGTGGCAGTACATTTGACCAGGTTTGTGCACCTATGTTACAATTTCACCTTGGGTGTTAGCATAAGGTTTAATCATTCAATTCCCTCACCTTCCTCCTTTATCCTCAATTACTGTTTCCTTCTCTCCTCCTCTAGATCTTCATTATGGCCTTTGTCTCTTGGAAATGGTTCAGACTCTACTTGTCCAGGAAGACTAGGGACTGGCATCCAGTTATAGATTTGTTACATCTTAACTGTTTGCTTCAACCTTCCTAGTTTTTGGAGGAGGAATGTGAATGTCGCAAATGCTTACTTTCACATCCTTTTTTTCCCCAACATTTAGTAGGGCATTTACATTCAAAGTTTTTCTGTTGAGCAGTCATATCCTTTGTTTACCTAAGTCATAAACAAGGTTTGTGCTCCCATCCTTACTTGCAGGATAGGTTTTTGTTAGCTCCAGTCTAACATGCTGCTCACAAACTCACTCAGTTTCTTCTTCAAGAAGCAACTCTTGTAGGATAGTTCATCTTATTCAGACCCAATAATTCATCCAACTGGGAATATTTTTCAACTCCTTCTCCATTTGGGCCCACCTTTATCATTTTAATTTACAGTCAGTGGAGCTTATGGTTCAGTCACCCTTCTTTCTACTTCACTTCCGGCTGATTTCACCTTCTGGGTCAACAGAGATGACAACACAGCTGGTGTTCCTCTTCCACCTCCACGGCCCAAACTGCATCTTTTTATGGATGCTTCTTTTTCAAGTTGGGGAGCAATTATGGATTTCCTGAAATCGTGGATCATTGTTCTTCAGTTGAGATGGCTATGCACATCATTATCCTGGAGCTGCTTGCTGTCCATCAGGCTTTGGATCATTTCCTGCCTATAAAACAAGGCATGGTTGCCATGATCCATTCCAACAGTTGTCTCTTATATCAATCAACAAAGAGACACCAGTCCATGCTCAATTTGTTCTTGGACCTTGGAACTCCTGTCTGGGCCCATTCACATCATGCACGCTTCTTGGCATGTTATGTTCCAGATGCTTTGATTCTTTTGCAGATTGATTATCTCATCCCAACAAAATCTTTCTTATGGAGTTGTCCCTAGATTCACAAAATGTTCTGGTGTTTATACAGCTTGTGGGGCATTTCTCTTCTGAGAGTTCTGAAGGCATTTGCCCCTCTCCCTCATTATTAATTCTAAAATTTCCATTTTCAG